CCCCTTACTTCAAGTCAAATGTGTTTTCTCTGAGTGTTACCCTAATGAAGAGTCCAGTCATTCAGCCAAGGCTTTCTAGTTTACAGAGTGCCTTATACACACCCTTTCATTTCATCTTTAGAACCCCCAATACAGAAGATATCACCCTCACTTTATAAAGGAGACAAATGTAGCTCCATGAAATTGGCTAAGATTACACACTTAGTGAGGAACAGAGTCAAACCAGATTTCAGGTTTTCTGACATCTTTCTGTCTCACCACCGCTGAGACTCACTTTCCATTTGAGTGATTCTCGAAGAGTGATCTGCAACGCGTTACGGACTATAAGCAGATCTGAAAATGTATTCTCACCCTGGTTGTATAAGTGACACAGACAATCTTATAGACTCTCATTTTTACATATGACAGAGGCTAATTTCACAGTCATTTTTAAGTGTGAGTGTATCATTAAAGCTTGCTAAAGTTTTATATTTATGAATATGTTCTTAAAATGTACTAGGGGTGCCTGGGCGGCTCAGTCGGTTAAGCATCCAACTTCGGCTCAGGTCATGATCTCACAGTTCTGTGAGTTCGAGCCTGTCATCGGGCTCTGTGCTGACAGCTTGCAGCTTGGAGCCTGCTTGGAATTCTCTGTCTCCCTCTATCTCTGCCCCTTCCTCACTCGCCCTCTGTCTCTGTCTCTCTCTCTCTCTCAAAAATAAACATTTTTTAAAAATTTTTTAATGTACTAAAGATTCTAATTCTATTTTATACTAAGAAGTGTGTTGCACAATGCTTGACAATGATGCAAAGTTCTTACTGGATATGAAATGGAAGTCCCCTAAAGTGAGGAATGAGTGGGGTACATGACTCACTAGATCTTTGCCCTACCTAAGTGTAGCCCAGAGGTTGAGAACCGCCAGCCTATGACCAATGTACCACCTTTCTTCTCTCCTGATCAAACTAAGAAACTCCTTTTCAATCTCTCTCAGAGCACAAACTCATTCTCTCTCATTCAGAGCACAAATTCAGATTGTAACATGGCAAAGGCTCAGATTTCTATTTGACTCAGGAATCACCTCCTGCTTTGTCCTGAAGGATAGCCACCAAGACAGAGGCGCAAAGAAGTTACTCTAGATGAGACAGAAAATACGGTCCAGTAGATATCACATGACTTGGCAACTGGTGCCAGGGTCACCATACAGAGAAAGCAAAGCTCTTTTTAGATTAGGTCCATCAGCTGTGCAGTATCCAATGTTCTTTGGCAAAGGAACCTATCTGGAGGTAGAACCACGTAAGTGACTTCTTTCTCCTTCTTGTGACCACTATGTGTAGCAATTATCTTTAAGTATTTTCCCAAGTCACCAGCTTTGGAAACCCTTGAAAAAAATCTAGCCAGCATGTAATTTAGCAAGGGATGGTTTGAGGAACGGGGACTGAGTTTCTGATAAATTCCAGAATGAGGTATGTGCTGCAGTGGTCCTCTTGATCCACTATGCTTCCTGGAGAGTATTCGTTGTCTTCCCTCTACCTGACTAACTTTAGAGAACCAGCTTCCCACCTGTGCACTCACCATTTACAGATCATAACCAGGTCATAACCAGAACTGTGCCACATACACTTAGTAAATGAGAGGTGTGATGATGAGCAAGTCAGACCAAGAATTCAGACCAAGTTTCAATCCTTCTCTTTGACTGACAAGCTCTGTGACTCCTTCACTGAACTTTAGTTTCCCTCTAGCTAAGCAAAGTGATTTCGAAGGGGTCTTCCAGCTTTAGCACACTAGGATTCTAATTATCCTCTAGACCAACTCTTAGGGATGATTTAGTAGGAAAAGCAAGGAAGTCCAATGGTGTTGAGTGTCTTATGACCCAGTAGGAATTCTGTGATTTGATTGTTAAAAAGGGTACTAGAAAAGATCAAAACTGTTCCTATGCATCCATTAGTTAACATTTGTGTCACCACAGAGGTTTTGACAAATGACTGCTGTGGCCCCTTCCAGTCCTATCACTCGTTACTCTGGTTCAATGCATGGAAACTGGAGTCTAAAGAACCTGGGAGTAAGGCCCAGTCCTGACACTCACTATCTTAACCATTATTAGCTTCAGTGACTTCATCTGTAAGAAGGATCTAATAATGATATCACCTCATGGAGTTTGTTACTATAATGTTTGCTGAGGTAGTATAAACACAAGACATTTGTAAATAGCCAAGTTCTTATACAAGTCATGGTCATGTATGATTATTATGACCCTTCGGGTAGGCTCCACTTCTTTTGCATCAATGGCTCTTGCTCCAACCATCACATTCTTCCACCTCTAACTGAGTCATAGTCCTTTATGATTGATCAGAGACTTATAGTTATGTTTCTGCTAACAATAGCCATTTGTCAATTCTCAGCCAACCCAAAATGATTCCTTTCTCCCTGTGAAATTTGATCCTGAAGCAAGATCGGTGGGTAAGTGATGGCAGGTTGAGGAGATAATAGTAGAAAACCTAGGGACTTCCCTAAATGCCAACACTCAGAGGACAACACATATAAACAAGCTGCCAAGATACAGTGCTTAGATCTCAGAAACCGTTGCAGAGTTTTATGCCTCCAGCTATTCTCATTCTGCTCCACCCACCCCCCTTCCAAACAGACGGACTAAACAGAGGGCAAATGGGTGGTGGGGTTTTTGTAATGATGCCTGAGGTGGTGTCTTGATACACCACTTATCTTTGGAGCAGGGACTCGACTCGTCGTGGAACCAAGTAAGTCATGCATTTTAATTTACTTCAGCGCGTATAGTCCCTTGGACTTGTTGTAGCAGAGTCCTGAATGGATTGGAGCTTTGGGGGAGGTCAGGAGGCTCTAAATTGGAAATGCATTGTTTTGTTGTTGCAAAGAGTCAAGGTAAAATTTGAGGATGAATTCATTAGGTTTCTCTTAGAAAAATAGTCTGTGTATGCATGGAAACTCTGTTCTAAAGATTTGTAGCAATAAGCCCTCTACAAAGGCCTGAAGAAAGCCCTTAGTCAGGCTTTTGGTCCCCTCCTCAGTCAGGGAAAAGGCAAGCTCTAGGTGAGAGTCGCTCCACTGTTTATGAGGAAAAAGACTCCTAGCCAAAATGTAGGAAGAGGAAGGGTTAAAAAGAAGAAAAATATTATTGCAGAGAGAGTTAGATCAAGACAGTCTTCTCTCCTTCAGATGACAAAAGCTAATCTTGCCTTTGTGTCTTTTTGCTGAGAACTTGCATTAAATCAGTGTGCCTGGCTCAGACTAAATGATCCCCCAGGCCCCATCCTTGTCTGGGTCTTCCAAGAGCAGAAATTGCATCCCTTTGGTTAGCCCTAGATCTGAAGACTCTGCACAGGGTTCAGGAGACTACATCCAATGTAGAATCACAGCCACCAACTTCAGGACAACAGGGAAGTCATGGTGCTCTCCTAGAGATACTGTCCCCTGGTAAGGCATGCCAGTGCTCAGAAATCCAGGGGTGATATTCAGGTAGTTTGGGTAGCTGCCAACAGTCACTGGGACTGGTCCAGAGAACAGTAGTCTTTCAGAAGCTTTCCAAAATGCCAAGTCCAATGGGGCAGGCATTGCCCCCTTACGTGGTTAAATTTTGTTTCGGAGGAAATAAAGAAGTGGGGAAATGTACGTGAATGTGGCAAGGTTGACATCCTGAAAGCAGCTGGTACTGTCAACATGACGTCTGCCTCTCAGAAGGAAACATAAACTTATAGGGGTTCTTGGTTGCCTGTTGCTTCCAGGCCAATAGTGGGATTTGGCGTGTTATCTTTTCTTTGAGAAGGGAGAGACTAGAAAGAAGGAGGGAAACAATCATGTTGTAGCTGACTGCAGTCTGATCCATGTTGGGCAAATTGCATCTGAGCGAAAAGTATTGTATTTCATTTTCCCTTTAAATCATTTCCACTTGAAATTCAGAATTATCTGCAGTGTTACAATCAAATCTCTGAGGCTGTGGCTTTGGGAATCTTAGGGAAAAAGGAAAGACATGAAACTGATGCTTAGCCCCTCTGCCGGGACTCTGACCTGTGCTCTCTGGTGATACTCTATTTACTTCTTCAGTTTTCTCTTCCTGCAGTGATGGAGTGTAATATGATTATGTGAAGCTCAGTTAGGGAAAGTGAGAATTTCAAGTCAAGCCCTCAATCCTTAAAGTTTTGACAGCAAATAATGGCCCTATACAACCATCGTTCCCTTTGGCTCTAGCCCTAGTCTCTAGATTTCTGGTGATGAGACTGAGTAATCCATAAGGCCTTCAAATTCTATTTCACATGATTATTATATCCTCCTGAAGCTTGTATCTGGATCCAGATACGGGAGGAATTAAAAAACAAAAACAAGTGGTCCAAAGCAAGCAGCGGCTTCTCTGACCCACATCCATGGACACACAGCACCCTGGGCTCTCCATCCACTACCAACTTCTTGTTCAAGCCTCAGATCCTTAGAAAGCCTTTCCTTGGGCTCGGGGAATTAGGAGACAGATTCCTTATTATTGTGAAGCTCACTCTGAGTAATGGGGAAGAAATTAGGTTTCTAATCAAAAAGCAGTATCTGTGACCCAAGAGAAGGGAACCAGAATGTGAGAACCAGACCTGTGTCTAAACCCTCTTCAGCCAAACATTCACTCTAAGAAATGTCACTATTCCGTGCCCCATCCCTATTCCCAAGCTATCGTGTTCTTCTTGGAAAGGCCTCCAATAAACTGGGAGTTAAATTGTCCATCTTGAAGGCAGCTACCAGTCACCTGTCGCCTTCTTCTCTTCCTCTATGTCAGCTCTGTCCCCTGTCTCCGTGCTTCCTGGCTGGGATTTCATGCACACATCCTTATCCAGCAGATACACTATTATTAGCTTCAAAGGGAACTGAGCCTCTGTGCACTCAGCCCCTTGATCTCATCGAGGGCAGCTTTGTAGTTCTCTGAGCTGTGGGGTCTCTAGGCTGGGACCCAGGCTGGGGAGGCAGGGCACAGATGTTCTAGGCCAGGCCCCAGGGCCAGCCCCAGGCTGGTTACTTGTGAGGCAGTGCTGCGATGTGCTCCTGGGATACCCGACAGATGTTTTTCGGAGCCGGCACCAAACTCCTCGTGGAACCACGTGAGTTGATTTTTTCCACTATATTTCTAGAGATAAATTGAGTCCTGGCACTGGGGCTGCCATCCAGTTTGCATTACTTGGGAAAGTATAACTAGGAGATGGAGTAGCCCAGATGCAGGGGGTGGCCAGATAAAGACACTGGGCTGAGTCCCTGAAGCAGCTCTGTAACTAGTTTTGTTTTTTAAAAAAAACATACATTCAAACTGCATCCCCCACTTATTTCTGAAATCTTCAGAGCAGCCCAGAAAACGCCAGGAAAACTAGAAAAATCGTACTAATTGCTGGGGCACATGGTGGGGGAGGGGATGTGCAGGGACACTCCGGCCCCAAATCTCCAGAAGGTTGTTTCCATTCTTACCCATCTCTTTGGCTACCCTGACTAGTGTACGTGCCTCATTGCAACCGTAAACAAATGCCCAAAAGCTTGGAAGATTTAAGACAGAGACAGTTAACCAGGTCAGAGTAATCAGGTAGAGCAAATGTGTATTTCAATGTTAAAGTTAAATCCCATGATGTCAGAGAGCCTTGAACTTGTGAGTGACATTTGTTACAGTACAATCCTTACGGAACTGATAGGACTCAGTGGGAATCTAAAACATAGATGATTTCTATGTATACAAGTTAAGAAAGGCTGTTCAGGAAAGGTATATACTTCTTCTGGTATTGTTTACCAGCACATAACCTTAGCATTGGACTGTTACTCATAGAAAGAGAAAGTCTGAAATAAAATAGCAATTGTCCAAACAAATAGCACTTTGAAACCCATAGTGAAATGTAATTACATTTGTGGGCCAAGAAGAAAGACCAGCAATTCTCAAAAAAATGAACAATTAGATCTTTAAATTTTGGACTACAGTAGGGCAAATTTTATCTAACTCGGATTTTGGTTTAAACTGAAAACAAAATCGACTAGTTTACATATGGCAACCATATAAAATGCATTCTGTTTTTTTTTCTTTTAAAAAGGTTCAATTCAGCCAGATAACCTTTTCTTTGGTTATCATGATACCAAAGAATGGATTAGATAAAACACTTCATTTTCAAACAACTGTTTTCAATAGATAGGTATTCACTGAGAAAAGGGTCTGAGAAAAATGTTTTACCAAATGAATGCATTATGCTTTATCTGAAATAGTAACAGATTAAGAGCTCAATATCATAAGTGTATGACCTTCTTCAGACATTTGTCTTGTCAGCTACGTTCCATTGTTCAAATTATTCAAACCAAATCTCTCTAGCCCCAAGTGATCATTGACAACTGCCTTTGAATTTAGATTTTAGATTTTAAAATCCCAAGCAAGCCTTAATTATCCAAGTAAATCAGGCTAGGATTGGGTCATACTCTGAAGTAACCAAGGAAATAGGATTGTTTTGTTTTGTTGTTTTGTTGTGTTTTTTAATTACTGGTTTCCTTTCTCTGTATCTCATAACTCCCTTGAAAATCAACCAGAGTACATGTCACCAAAGTCAGTATAGTGAAAGAGAAATGTTGCAATTCTGAAGACAGGTGAATGAACATGTGGTTTTTCAAGCCGTTGCTGCCGAGTTATCAGTGTCTGTTATCAGTGGCTTCAGCTATGCCGGAAAGCAAAACGATGAAGGTTTCCTCACATGGGTTGAAATTAGGTTCCAGGAGAGCCCCCTGAAAAAATCCCCAATCCCCGTCTTGTCTAGAACTGAAGCCAAAATATACGGAACCAGATTCTTAGGAATGAGTTTCCTGCCCTTAGTGACTGAAACAGAATCCAGTCTTCCAGCTGAGCTTCCAGGCAGAGAAAAAAGTGGTAACAAATTTTTTCAAAAAAATATTTGGAGGCTAGTTAAGGGGGGGGGGGGGGGGAAAGGATTCCTACCAGAACAGCTGATTCCCTAGGAAAGCCCTGATTGGCCATTGTCCATTTACAAAATGATGATCAGAAAGAACTTCTAGACTAGCAAACGTACCCTCTCAAGCAGATATAACCAATTTATTTGTTTATAGCTCCACTACCATGAGCTTCAACAGCTAACGCCCAAATCCAAATTAGGACAGAGTATTAGAAAAATGATTGCATTTACTCACCCATTACCAAGACTTTTCATTTAGCATTACCTTATATCTTGATTATAGATCATAGTAAATAAAAGTACACTGGAATTCAACATTTTTAATTTGATATCACCTACTTTCAAATAGAAGAGCTACATTCACACAAGTAATTACTACAGAAAATTGACAGTTAAGCTTCTGTTTGGAAATATATCTAGGTCACCATTCACAGATTGGTTGTCTCTCCTGATTTCAGGCATCTTCACAGCACCCTCCTTTTTTAACAGTTATTTGAAGATAGCCTAAGGATCCAAGTCTTCATGGACAAAATTTATCATAATTCACAAACCTTAATAAGGCATGATGGGAAAGAATCAATACTGCCTCCCTCAAAGCTTTAAAACTTTCAGTTTCAAGGAAAGAAAAAGATGCATATACAGAGTAGCAGATAGATGGTAGGTCAAGGTGAGGCATGAATGCAGAGGAGGCCAGGAGGAGATCCAATGATCAGCACCAACACTCCATAGCTTCACTTAGAATAAAATAAGAACTGGGTTTAAACTGGTTTTATATCTAGGGGCACCTGGGTGGCTCAGTTGGTTGAGCATTTGACTTTGGCCCAGGTCGGAATCTCATGGTTCATGAGTTTGAGCCCCACATCGGGCTCTGTGCTGACAGCTCAGAGCCTGGATCCTGCTTCGGATTCTGTGTCTCCCTCTCTCTCTGCCCCTCCCCCCCACTCACACTCTGTCTCTCTCTCAAAAATGAATAAATGTTAAAAAAAATTAATATCTATAAGGACTTCCTGGGAATAATAGCTGTTATCTCTGATAAAAGACTCAGAAACTATAGGATAGTCCCTTACAACAAAATAAGTATTTACCTAAAGGCAGAGAGATGTACCACTTAACTTCAGTGGTTATCCCTTCCAGTCCGAAAAATGAGAAAGACACCCTAAAGTGACTCCAGTACTTCCATCCTCAGGGTATTTGAACGAGTCATGTAGTCCTTCTCAGACCCTGATTCTTTAACTGAGCACCAACCCTGTTCTCATTCTAAGGGCTTATGCGTTTAAAATAAACCAACGATGCAGACAGATATTCAACCTGACTGCAATCATCCAGAGGACTGATTAACAAAATATAGATAATTGAATCTCAGATGATCCAGACACTTGTTTGTAGTTGTTATTTTCCATCTCCACTTCCAGCCATGTCTCTTAGCAGCTCCTAACTAGAAGTCAGATTGACTGCCTTTCATTTCCACTTCCCTTAGCCACCTCTTTCATTGGGTGTTAACAAGCCCAGGTCACTAAAGGATGCAGGAAAGTCTGTATTGCAGTGTTTGGCCCCAAAGGAATTGAAGTAAACCCCACCATTTAACTCCCACACTTGCGGATAATCATCTTTCAAGATAAATTGATTATATTTGCAGAAAGCCAGCCTCCTGCCAAACCATCCGTTTTCATCATGCGAAATGGGACGACGGTTGCTTGTCTGGTGAAGGATTTCTATCCTAAGGATATAGACATAAAACTCGAATCAACCAAGAAACTAGAAGAATTTGACCCTGCTATTGTCGTCTCCCCCAGTGGGAAATACAGTGCTGTCAAGCTTGGTCGGTATGAAGATCCAAATTCGGTGACCTGTTCGGTTGAACACAACAGTGAAGTCGTGAGCTCCACTAACTTTGAACCAAGGACAAATTCTTCAGGTAGGTCACATCTAGTTTCAAGGGGCTGGAATTGTAGGGAAGAAAAATTGAGGGAAAGGGAAGCTGAAGATGTAAACTCTTGACAGATCATTCTCAACGTGGCATCATGCTAGAAACAAGACTGAGCCCAACTATGGCCCGTCATTGACTTTGAACTTAACTCTGCATCCCTGAGCTGGAATCTAAGATAAAGTCCATCTTATTTCATCTCCTATCTCCTCTTCACCAGCCACTGTCTCCTTGATACTAATGACTGTCCTACTACTAGACTCTGGGTTAAAAATTCGTGCACAGACTATGGGGCACCTGGGTGGCTCAGTGGGTTAAGCGTCTGACTCTTGACTTCAGCTCGGGTCATGATTTCACATTTTGTGGGATCGAACCCCATGAGGGGCTCTGCCTTTACAGTGCTGATCCTGTGTGGAATTCTCTCTCTCCCTCTCTCTGCCTCTCCCCTGCTCTCTTGCACTCTATCTAAATAAATTTTAAAAACTTAAAAAAAAAATCTTTAAAAAAAAATTTGTGCACAGCCTAATCCAATGTGAATGCCAAAACAAAGGGCAGCCCAGCTTATCACGGGATTGAGAACCCTCATTCATCCTACAAATTGGAAACATACCTGAATGTGGGCCTCATAGTATAACGAAAAAATTCCAGAATGGGAAGAATGTTGGCTGTGTGAATAGCTGTTTGACCTTAAGCCACTCATACCCCTGATCCTCAGTTTACTCACTTAAAGTCTCCTCCACTTTTCAAACCTCAAACCCTTTGAGCCTCTTGGTTGCCAGTAAATCCCTGACCACTGCTGTTTGTTCCAGGTACCGTAAAACCAAAACCAACGGAAACTGAAAACATAAAGCTAACTCCAAAGAGCATCAGTGAGCCCAAAGGTTAGTTGAAATCAAGGGTCAACTTCAGAACTGAGTGTTAAAGCAAACCCTGTAATTGTCAGACAGGGCCAAAAGTCAGCAGATTTCAAAAGAAAACAAAAACCATACCTGAGCCCAGCTGGTTCCCTCCGAGCCTCTCGGCGAAGCTTGCCTGGCTACAAGCATGGGTTTCCAAAGCTTGCCTGGCTGGGAGTGAGCAGCAGCCTTGGGTCTCTCAGGGCCATCTGCCACCAAGCTAGGCTTGCAGCCCAGGCAGAATGATGGTGATTCGGGGCAGGCTGGTGTCCGTGTGTTGTGCGCCTAATTTCTGGAAGGGAATTTAGTTTCTTGCTAAAGCCGCTATCTTTACTCTTGTTCAGCCACAGTTCATCACAGTTCACAGTTCACAGCCGGGAATGTAAACATGCTGTCCCTCACAGTGCTGGGGCTCCGGATGGTGTTTGCCAAGAGTCTTGCCATCAATTTTCTCTTGACTGCCAAGTTATTTTTCTTTTAAGGTAAGAATTAGCTGCTTCTTATGCCTACCTCAAGCCAAACTATGCTGCACATGGAGAAAAGGAGTTTAGGAATGTAAGGGGCCAAGAAGGCTTGGAAAGGGAAGAACACAGAGACATAATAGGATTTTTTTTTTTTTTAATTTATCTTGAGAGAGAGAGAGCGCGTGAACACATGTGCACAGGAGGGGGAGGGGCAGGGAGAAGGAGAGACAGAATCCCAAGCAGGCTCTGAGATATCAGTGTAGAGCCTGATGCAGGGCTCTAACCCACAAACCATGAGATCGTGTCCTGAGCCGAGGTCAAGAGTCAGACGCTTAACCGACTGAGCCACCCAGGTGCCCTGAGACATAGTATGATTTAATAAAGGTGGGCCACCTCAGATACTCAGCATAACACCCCATCTCCTGTTGTCCTCCTATTTCAAGCCAGACTCAAAATGTGTTATGTAATATAATGTAATACTGGCCGATAATCCCCACCTCCAACCCAGGAGCTAAAACCTTGGAGCTATGTAATGAGAAATAGTTTTCTTTATTTGCTATTTTGTTTATCTGGCCAAGGGTCATGGTTATTTGCAAGGCCATCAGTAAAGCTTCACCCAAAGAATTTCCGGAAACTGCCTTGCCTAGACAAAGGAGATGCCAGCTCCCATCTCTTTATCACAGGACTCCCAGTGTATAGACCAGCCCATCTTTGGGATGAACCTACATGCCCATTAGTAGTAACCAGCACACTGCTAGCTATTCAAGATGCAAAGTTGCAGTTGAGACATTAATTATCTGCCTGCTACTTGCATTCCTTCTTCATGTAATCTTAGACATGAAGTTTAAACCGGGGCCTAGGTTTGCCCACGAAGCCCTTTTTCCAGTACCCCCAATTCTCCCCAGTCCCACCTCCTGATCTAGGGACAACTTTAGATTTCAAGTGTGGGACTGATCCAACCCAGCCTGAAGACATGTCCAATCATTTCCAAATGGGTGACTGGTTTCCAGGAGTCCCAAGGACAAGAGCAGTGTGGCTATATAAAAAGAGCACTACACTAGGAGACAGAAGATGTGGGTTTTCACCCTGTCCTTGTCACTAACGCTCTGCTACCCTAGCCTAGTTGTCCACCTCTTTAGGCCTGAGGTTTTTCACCCATTAAACAAAGGAGTTAAGAAAGACTAAGGACAGCAAATGAGTTGCATGGCTTATGCCAATATTGATAAGCTAATACGGAGTAGCTGAATTATGGCCATGTGCAGAAAGGACCATACCATGATAGATTAGTGATGTCTGCATTGATGCAGCCACAGCAAGTACTGGCCATCCCCAGACTATGTGAGTACTACGATTCCTCCCAGCACTGACTATCTGTGATCTATGACACTCTGATCCTTGTCCTTCACTTGCAGGCTGACTGGCTTCAGAAGGCTGCCTTATGAAACTCCCACATTATGTCTTCACAAAAGCCTACAGAGGAGCTGTCTCCTAGACTTCTGGCTTCTCGGTGATTCAAGGTGACCGATCCCAGTCTTGCTTAAGTGGCTGCTACCCAAACCATCAAAGCAACAAACCCAGCTCATTTTCCAGCTTTGTGGAAAGACACAAGTCCTAGGGAGTAGGGCGTTATGGTCCTAACTGCTCTATCTGCTGCTTTATAAAGGGATATAGGACTCATTTTCTTTATTATTATTTCTACAACAGATACACTTTGAAAATAGTGTTTTGTTCCCTTAACTTTCTTTGCCTTCAAAAGTAGAAAGTGGGAGCCAACAGATTCCCAGCTCCATACTCCCCGAGGAAAACAGACCCTGGGGGTTGGAGAGAAGATGCCCTTCACCTAACAAGAATGGCTCTGTTCAGCCCAGCACTAGGTTTGCCTCAAGCTGGCATTCTCATCCACAAAAGCACTTTCTGCTTTCCTTAGTACTTTACAAACAAAATTACATTTGACTTCTCATGCAGCCAATGGGGTTTCTAAAGCCTCATCTAAATACTCTCCAAGCTATTAGCAAAGATCAGGGTAAAACACAGAGAAAATTACTTTTATCAATTGACTTCACAAACATGAATTGACTCCTTCTAAGTTCCAGGCACCGAGCTGAGGGTGTAAAGATGAACGAGAGGTGGGCCTGCTTTCAAGCGACTTACTGTGCAAGCACTTTTGGAGGGAGGGAGAGGAATGAGACTCCTAGATTTGGGCTGTAAAAAGAGTATCTTTACTGGGTTTTGCCTGCCAATATATGCACAGGGAATTTGATTTCAGTGGATGCTGACTCTTGCCTGCCCCTTGTTGTTGATGGTTTTCTGCCATTCTCAGTGTTGTCTCTGTTGCATTTATTAAAGTGCATCGAGTGTGCCTTGCCTCTGGCTTTACTCATAACAGACCACCGCGGGAGGGGGAGGGTGGGTGCTGTGAACTCACTGTTAGGCAGACAAAAGCCAAACTGAACTTGTAGGTCACACCGCAGCTTCCTGAGCCCCAAGCCTGCAGGCTCCTGCCTCGGGGACCCTGCCCTGGGTTTCCGGCTGTTGCTGCTGCTGCTACAGCTACAGCAAAACAGCAGCAATGACCCCTCTGTGGCCGATGGGCTCTGCTACCCCCACGTCAGCAAGGCCACAGCATTTTCCCAGATGCACCCACTCAGGTAGCAGAGCCCTTGCAACCCACTATTGTGGTTTCCTGGGCACCTAGGGTGCTACCTAGGGTGTCAAGCAGGGGCTTATGGGGTCACAAGTGAAAGAGCAACCCTCACCAACTCCCCCTGATATTGCCATCTGCAGACTCCCATGTTGTCTTCACAGCCCAAAGCAAAGAAAGGAGGCAGTAGCCCTCTGAGTCAATGGGTTTAGGACAATCTACATGGATAAGGAGGTCCATCCAGGGAAGAACCATTAGAAGATTCCACACAACTGCACCTCGTGTGTGTAAAGAATGCCTATTTCCAAAACATTCACATCTGTTACCTTAGGTAACATTAGCATGTTTCTATAAGTGGCAAAGAACAAAAAGATCACATCCTCATTTTTCAGATGGAAAAAATACCCCTTCCAAAAAGGTAATGTACCTTCTTCAAAGTCATTCAGTGAGGCAGGACGTGGCTGTGAGCAGAACCATGTTACCAAGAGCACCAGCCCAAAGTTCCTTCTAGAACATACAGCATCCCCAAAACAAGGACAAGGTGGTGATTTGATTTCAGCTAGACTGGACTTCAGGATTGTCCGATAGTTAGCATATAAATGAGCCACCCTCTGATCTACTTTGATGGTCAAAAAAAAAAAAAAA